TACATGCCACTGTTGCCACTTGCAGGCATGCCACTGTTGCCACCTGCATACATGCCACTGTTGCCACTGCATACATGCCACTGTTGCCACCTGCAGACATGCCACTGTTGCCACCTGCAGGCATGCCACTGTTGCCGCTGCAGACATGCTACTGTTGCCACATGATCACACATCATTGTTATCAAATATAATGGGAAAATATCAATATGACTCAATCAACTTGTTTATCCACTTCACGAACAGGAAGCAGATAGCATTATAAAACGTTCAGAATCATGTAGCAAATTGGTACTTTGATGTACCCTTTATATATACTAAGCATTACATGTTTTTCTTATGTTGATTAGTTAGTGTAATGCGGAACACTTTTCACACAAAGATACACATGTTTCTGTTTTGTTTATTTTATTTATACACTGTTTTATACTTTGATGTCATCTATAGGTTGGTCTATGCACAAACCTTCGGAATCTTCACTGGTTTCAGGAGGCTGACCAAGACACATTTTTTCCACGGTGTTATAAAATTGGAATAGAGGAAGAAAAATCTGCCTTTGTTGGTAAGTCTACTGGAATGAATGATTCTACATTTTAAAATTGTTTGCAGTTTGATAGATTGAGAGCGTTCACAAAAGTCATATGACTTGTGTCTTATGGAACCCAGTGAAATGGTTCTTATTTTTACTAAATAATTAATATATTATGAATATACATGAATTGCCGGGAAACATTTGAAGATTGACTGTTTTAATGTTTAGTTAATATTTCCCGTAATTTGTGCAAATTCAAATGATATTCAAATATTTTGACTACTGTATTTGCTCAATAAGAAGTGTATTTCTAAAAAATTGCATTTATTTAAATGATGGATTATTAAATTTTGAATTATTATGACCAAAGACATACGTCTACATTACTAATAGAGCAAATATGTCAGAATACTCTGCAGGAAGCATGCATATGTCAAACTAAGATAGGTATTAATTGTCGCAATGTCTTTTCTCTTGCAATATCGCAGATGATTTCAGAATGAATGCAGCTATTGGATTCCTTAAATGGGTCATAGCATGTGAGAATGGAGAGATACTTGATGTTGAAAAAACTGAAGCAGAAGAAGTCGAGAAGCAAGATGAGATGAAGAATGAGGATGAAGTCACTGAAGAGAAAAATGATGAAGTGAAGGAGAATACAGAAGATACAAAAGATGATAATAAAAACAGTGAAGAAGCAGGGAATAAAACTGTGCAATCAGGTATGACTCTTGAATTCTTAAAATTAATTTGTTTTCCCATGGACTGAATTAGTTTCTGTATTTTGCAGTACATGTATTATGCTTATAAATAAATAAACCTTTATTGAAATATATTCTTCTTGATATATATAACGCAATAACAAAAATATTTTAAAAATAGAAATACAAAATAATATACACTGACATTAATATTCAACATTCCCTGGTGAAATGCTTCAAAAATGCTCCAAACACATGAAAGATTTTAGGTGTTATGCATTCACAAAATTAGATATTACATGTCTCGCAATACATCGATGATAATGTAAAAACTTTAAAGGCAGGGTTATTTTACACACACAGCCACAGTCAATTACCCACAATTAAAAAAAAATTAAAAAGAGTGGTTTGTCCAAATTTTTAAATTAAAATAGTACATGATATCAAACACAAATTGATACAACTACATTGGTACTGGTAATATTTAAAAAGTTAACCGAGCTGTAAATGTGTCTGTCCACTATTTTAAAACATGGTTGATTTCGCTTGGTTTTGACTCACAAAAAACTTTGTTATTTTGGTTTCATTTTAACTAAATCAGTTTGAAATACGAGCATTCCATTCCTTGCAAAGAATTGTTTTCAAAATGCATATTGAGGGGGATGACATTCTTGGGTGCCTATATATTGTCCCTTAACTTGACAAAAACAAATTGTGGTGCGAAACTTACAACAATATTTATTTACCATATTATCATTATCCAAGTGGAATTGTGCTTATCATAACATCAACCCAGTTAATGTAGTACACATATCACTTTAGTTCAGTTAAAACTTTAGAACATGTCGTCAATCCCCTCACACATTCAGACCCTCCCCTAGTTTAATGGTTCATCC